AGAATGTGGAATGAGGAGCTTTGTCTCTCTGAATTGGTCACCACCTCAACTGAGGATCTGAAGGCATCCTATGAAGGCTGGTGTTGAACACCTCTTAGATTTTAGTAATGAGTGATCTAAATCTGGAGGCTTAAAAAGTCAAAATTCATAGTTATTGGTGGTTCTGGAGTCGATTTTCTTGCTGGCAAAAGTAAGAAAATCCCCAAAGTCAACTGGGATGTACATTCTGTAATGGAGTTTGTGGTTACTTTATTTCCTTAATCTGGACAAACAGGTTTTCATTTCTTTCACTAGTACTGTAAACGCCCTGTCAGTATTTTGAGCAGTCTGGTAAATGATTTATTAATACTGTAATGCTTATCTCTACCATAATTTCTGTAAGTTAGGCAATATTACCAGGAATTTATTGGATGGTATATAGCAAACTGACTAAACAAGCCTTTTGGTATAACCCTGTCTTATATTTCTCAGCTTTCGGGTAGTAAATGAGTTTGGTTTAATGGATTATTGTGGCTGTGAAGAGCCTTGAAATGTAATGCTTCACCTGACAAGGAACTTGCCTACATTTTGAAGAAGCTGCTGTTTTTCAGGGAATGAGCAGAAGTTATTCTGAGTCCATAATGGGGCCAAGATCTCTTTTCCCACATGGGTCACTGGTTCAGGCATGGTAGTCACCTCACCTCCCAAAGTGGCCTGGATTTTCTTTTGGGAGGGAACTCGTCTCTTCCACAGGCTGAGTCCCAACTCGGGTTCCTACCTTCATTACCTGGAAGGGAGACAGGGAGGTGTTGAGTGTGAGAATGCCATGGAGCCCTTGGTGACCTGGGACACAAGCTGCCCGGCATTGCTGCTAGTCTCAGCCTTTCTCCTCAAAAATCCCAGGACTGTGGGCCCCCTTCCCTGAAGAAAAAGCAGGCTTCTGCACAGGAGTCCATCTATGCTTCTAACCCACAAAATGGGGAAGCACCTGCTGACTGGGTTGGACATTCTCAAAATGATCTAGTCTCTTTTCTGTATTAGTTGTAATAATTTGAACCTCGCACCTTCTCCTTGTGTTGAGAGCATAGGTGTGTATTTGCCAGGTCACAGTGAAGTACTTTCAGGTGAAGGATGGCAGCTACTTACGGCTGCATCACCACTGGATCTTTCCAACCTCTCTACATTTCATAAATGCAGTGATTCTCTTGCATGCTTGGAAATCATTCATTGTCCTCAGTGAATGCACGTGTTCAGATCTGGAACTTTTGTGAAATCATCGTATGTTAGTAGTTGTTGGGGAATATTATAAAGCCAATGTGTTACACAGTGATTCTAGCTTGTGTTTCCTAGCACTGCATCCCTGATTTGTGGAGCTGAACGTTTCTTTAAATGGTTTTTGCTTGATCACATCAAAAATCACTTAATCTCAGTGGGTGTATTGACAGCCCAGTTTAATTAAACAGTAGCTGTTTTCCACTTGATGAGCCCTGAGAATTCCTATTTTAGTTAGACTGTGAGTGAAATCATGGAGCTGCTTTATAGCTCTCAACGTATGTTTCACTGGAATTTTCATAGTCAATGGCCTATGGCAGCCACAGCTTATGTAACACATCATACAGCTGAGCCGAGCCCTTGGATACTCTGGGATTCTGTTCACAGTGTGGAATTCTGAATGTACCAGATGATACTCTGGTTACATTTCTCCTCTGCTATGTTCTGAGTGAGAAAACAAAATTGCATCTCAGTATGTAATATCTCCAATTTTCACCCTGTGCTGTTCAAACTCCCCTGGGGGACGGGAGTGAGGAGACTTGGGGGGTGGAATTAAGGGGATCAGCAGGAGGTGGCGGCAGATCGCTGCGGGCTGGGCCGGGAGAGCTCCCTCCTGCCCGGTCCTTGAACTGTGGGGGCTGTGTTTTGGTGGATGAGAGGCTGGGTGTGCCCTGGCTACATGCACTGGGACCCACCCAGAAACCAACCCTAGCCCCAGCCCCCTTTTGTCCCCTTAATTTGTCTCCCTAATTCACAATGCTGTGTTTTGCTGCACTGGCACTTGGGCCTTTTTTTTTTTTTCTGCAGCCACTTAATTCTCCTCCCCCAACTCCAGTGGGCATATCCTCATCTGATCAGTCCTTTTTGGTTAATTTAAATTAAAACTGAAAACAAGAGGCTTGTGCTTGTTCATCTGGCAGAACCTGAGTGGTATAAAGTACATTATTCCTCTTGACTGGTCCCTGTGTTGCTGGTGTCATCCTTTAGAAGCAGCTCAGCAGCACAGCAAACACCAACCCAACGTTTATCAGGTCATTTTGGAGAGGCTGATACATGAGGTTTTCCTAAAATCCTGTGTGAAAAAATGTAAAAGAAGCACGCTCAGCTCCTGGCGGGAAAATAATCTTACTTTTGCCAGAGGTCGCCTAAAGCATCCTTACAATTGCTTTATTTTTCTGCTTTCTAATGCACACCATCCTCTCTGTGAATTTCTGTAACTTTTCCTCTGCCCGCTATTTTGTTTGACTTTTTTCTGTTTTCGCCAGGCAATCCCGTCAGTCTTCAATTCAGTCATCTTGGTCTCACAATATAGTGTAGTCTCTAAACTTTTAATATGAAGATTAATCCCTCAACGTTGGTGTATCCTTAGTAGCAGCCTTGCCTTTATTTTGTCTTTAAACTGAGTTGATATTTATTGAAAAGGGTTTATAAGCTTTTAAAATTTTAGACATGAAGAGGGAAAGATCAGTGAGTAAATAAAGTCTGTAGTTCTACATCCAGAACAGATTCTCACATATTGACTGGTTTTTCCAATGTGCAGTACTCTGAAAGTAGCTGATGAACAGATCCATCTGCCTCAGTGAAATGTAAGTGTATTGATCTGCCTAAGAGAAATATGCTGAGATTGCTGAAGTGCATATCTGGCTTTGACAAGGAGATGGATGGACCATTTTAGCAGCAAAACATTTTTTTTAATGTTGAGGAACTATCTTGTCTGCAAAGAATAAAGTAATTTGTAGTAACGACGGGAAAATACTTTTCTTGCTGGAGATTACCCCATTTGTTTTCATATTCCACGATGTGTTGTGCTCCTTATGCTGCAGGAAGCAAATCCAAAATTTTATGAGGAACAGTTCATGCTGGTGAAATAGGGAATTGAGGTGGGGACTGTGGAGTTGTAGTGCGTTCCTGGGAAGGGGTTGGTTGGAGAACTGCATTAGTGGGAATTGCTGTTGTTTGTGTAATTGCTGGACAGCCACAAGGATGATGCTGAGGTGTTGTCCTAATACTGCAAAATGCCTTTTATGTGTTTGGAAGTAATTTTTATATAAATGATGGTATTTAAGGAGATGAGAAGTTGATTTCATTTGGAGCTCAGGACTTGTGTTCAGCACAGGATGTGCTGCTTGTTCAGAGGGTGTGCTGGGCTTATTCTCTCCTTGCATGAGGGTTTAAGGTGATTTTGTAATCTGTGGACATCACTGACCTCTCTGAAGGGCTGATAGATAATCTTAGTTCTATTTTGAAATACTCATCATGACATGGTTTTGTTTGTAGGGAAGAAGGTGCAGGTTGAAATTCAGTTTGCTTTTGGTGAGTGGTGGTTGCTGAGGGTATGTTTGAGAGTTGAGAACAAGATGTGGAATGCCTTCACTTTGGCTAAAAGGGAAGGGAAAGTATAAACTTGCCACAACCAAAACACGCAACCAGCTTTGCAGAAGTGACACATGGTTGGGAAAACTTGGTTAGTGGTGGGAGGATTTTGATGGTTTGGATTTTTTCCAAATTTTACATGTATGTAGGTACGGTAATGGGTTGAAGATGTAGGTGAATGGGCCTTGTATGAGGACTGCTGTGGGGTCTGTGATCTGTTTGAGGTGGTCTCGTTGACAACTTTGAGCTCATAGGCTTCAAAGGCTCCTGTCAGAAATGCTTCTGGGGCAGGTTTAGGTGTTTCATAACCTGTTGGTGATGTAATTTTACAGGAGCAGTTGTCTGTTCCAGCCTTTTTCCCTGCTGTTGTGCTACACCAGCATCCATCTGCTGCTGCCCATCTCCTTCTCTAGGTTTGGAGACAAAGGTTGAGCTTTTTCCCTAAAGCCCTGAGTGTTCTGCTGTAGTGCGTAACTTAAATTTACCAAGGTCACTGAACCCTATTTACTGTGTTTTCTAGGAGGCTGACAGGGTACAAAAGATTGGTTTGTACCCTCCTGTCTGAAGGATGAAGCAGTAATACAAGAGCTCAGTTATTTGTGTGCTGAAGGGGCCGTGGTTCTCCAGTGATGTGACAGATTCACTAATGATATCTGACAGAAGTATTGTAAAGGACTAACTGTAAAAAAACCCAACTCCCTTCTATTATGCAATGTTTTTAAGAAGGAAATATTTTCTTTTTATAATTTGAAGAATGCAAGTTCCCATGTGACAAAATATTGAACTCAGGTGACTGGTGAGTAGGTGTAAATTGAGCGGAAACTACTTCAAAATGCAGTTAAATAGTTTCTTGTCTGTAGAGACTTTGAATTTTGATAATAGGTTTTGTATTTTAATACTTTATATTGATTTTCAAACAATTCCAGACTATTGTCGCTGCCTTGTTTGGGAGATGAGGGGGAATGGTTGTTAGTCAGCTCTGCTGAAAACCGCAGTGCCAGAAGAAATTCTTCCCTGTGACGGTGGTGAGGCCCTGGCACAGGGCGCCCGGAGAAGCTGTGGCTGCCCCATCTCTGGCAGCATTCAAGGCCAGGTTGGATGGGGCTTGGAGCAATCTGGGATAGTGGAAGGTGTCCCTGCCCATGGCAAGGGGTGAAACAAGATGAGCTTTAAGGTTCCTTTCTGACACAAACTATTCTGGGATTCTGTGATTTGATAGCACAAAATTATATTTTCCATCAAGGTTGTTGTATTTAAAACAACGCAACTCTTCCAGCTGCGTGCTTTTTCAGAAACTACTATAGCAGTAAAACACAGTTCTTATTGTGAGATCCTGCTTTACAGATTATTCTAATTTATTCTTTTTTCTTTCTAAGGAAAAGTCATCAACAAGGACTTGCGCCACTACCTAAGCCTTCAGTTCCAGAAGGGCTCGATAGACCACAAACTTCAGCAAGTGATCAGAGACAATCTCTATTTGAGAACCATCCCTTGTAAGTATGTAAAGATCAGCCTCATTTCATCTGTTCCTGCTAACTCCCACATAATTTATGAGTTTGAAATACCTTCTCTCTTAATCTGTTTTAGATTTTACCTTGTAGTGGAGACTTCTGGCTTTGCTACAGTAGCTTCACATCTGAAGTTGCCATGGATTGGTGCAGCCAGTATGGACTGAAAACCAGCAAAAACTTGAGAATTCAAAGTTCAGATTGTTTCAGTAATATCTGTGTGTGGCTCTTCACAAATTTGTCAGTAGTTGTTAGAATGGCTCAGCCACCACAAGAAATAAATCTTTCTCAGCATGATCAAGCAGAGCCAAAACATCCTGAATTTTGTCAATGTGTTACAGTTTTTTTCTTCACAAAGAGCAAACTGAGGCCTTGAGTGTCAAGTGCATTTGGCAGAGCAGGGCAGCTGGAAGGAGGGTGGGAGGAGGGATTGGGTGCAGAAGGGGTGACAGTGGCAGAACGTACAGGCAGATTGTTTGCTCATCCTAAGAAGACTGATTAAAAAGGCTCATCATTGACTGTTTAAATATTCATTACACTAAAAACTTTGTCAAGTAAAGTTTTTGTATCTACAGGAATTCTACTCTCTTTTCTCTGAGCACACCTGAGAGTTAGTGGCTTTCTTAAACTGCATTTCATTATTACTAGCTTTTATTTACTAGCCCTTGTTTATGCTGCTGCCTGAAAAAAATGATACATGCTTTTAAAATGCTATTAGGTTGTAGGCAGTAATGAATTGTAATGAATCAATGAAGTTCTTTCAGGAGAGCTTTAATTAAGCTGTTATAACTATGGGAGGCTTGTTGTTATAGACAAAACACTTTGAGAACCTCTGCATTAACACAGCAGTTTACTGATAAAGTTTACCTTCAGCCAGAGGTTGGAGTGTGGCTGAATTATACCTTGAATCATAGGTTAAAAAATAAATTCTGTGCTGAGTTATGGATTCGGTGGCCCAAAAATCAAATGTGCTTAGTCATGATGACCTCATTGCAAATTAGAGAGTTGGTGCTGGTGGAAATAGGGAAAGATGCAACACCCTTACAGCTGGGTTAAAATAAAATAACCCAGTCTGGGATTGCATGTCGTCAGCTGCCACAAAAGTTGTTTTTGGTTCACTGACCATGAGAAAGAATTCTCTATTAATTGCCACCTCACCGAGCTGCTTCTCTCCTCCTCCCCCAATACCAGAAGTGTCCTTCCTGTATAATTTACTGTCTCAGTTTTTATATGTTATTGTTCACTTGCTTACCAAGAGTCGTTTTAACTCTTACTGAAGTGACATAATATTTGTATAAAGATTTGAAAATACATTGTTTTTACTGACCTGTACAGCAGGCAGCATTTGGTAACAAGCAGCATTTATGTGTCTTACAAGAGTGTTTTCTCTGTCTTTGCAGGCACTACAAGGGCTCCCAGAGATGGGGAGGTCCCTGGGGTAGACTATAATTTCATTCCTGTTGAGCAGTTTAAAGCATTGGAAGAAAGTGGAGCCTTACTAGAAAGTGGAACATATGATGGTATGTCAGTGATGTTTCATGGAATGGGAATAAGGACCCAAAACTTGTGTCCAGGTGTAGCTCCTTGTGGTACCAGCTTTCCTGCTCACTTGATGGTCATGACAGTAGTAGAGAGACAATAATTAGTCTGTTTTTGGATTACTGTGAAAAGGAGGAGCAATCTTGGTTTAAATCTTTCTAATAATCTGCAGATTGTCCTTTCAACTACTCTTAATCCTGCCAGATTATTTTCACTCTTGCGTTTTTGCGAAGCATTCTGAAAGGGTTTGTTTGTGCCTGGTACAAATTTAAGAGAATTTAGTCAATTTTGTGTACACCTCAGAGAACGGAGCCATGTTCTCCTCTCAGGTGTGCATCAAAAAGACAAACGGCAAGAGAAATTCTGACCCTTTCAATGAAAAGTTGAACAGCACTAGATCAGATTGTAGGAAAGTTGGGTTTGTTAAATGTGTTGAGGAAAAACATTGTAATGGAGATGGTGATCAATTTCGTGAAAGGCTCTGTGCCTCTTGTTTTCCTTATCCCACACTATCTGTTAATATTGTCCAGTCTGTGGAAATCTAGTAAACAAATTTAGGCTAAACTAGTAGGTTTTTTTCTTTATCCCTGAGCTGCACTTTATCTGACTGTCCCCTCTCTGAGCCTTGCCCTTGCTTGATATTTGCAGAAGGGTTTTCTTTCTATGTGTATTTCCATGGTCAAAACTGTATCCAGGCACGAAAAGTTACTCCAGCAGGAATTCTGGGAAGCTTCCTTGCTTTGTGCTCAGTTCCCTAATAAAAATCATATGAGCAGTCAGGAGAGAGGTCAATTGCTGAAATTCTTTTCCAGAAAACAGCAGATGATTCCTTTGTACTTCAGATTAAAATATTGAAGGAAAAATCTGTTCTTTTTTCTGACGTAAAAATGTCAGCCTATTGATATGAAAATGTTGATATGAAGCCATATCAACATCTTTGTTTTGCAAGTGTATTGTCAGTAGAAAATTGCAAGTGTAAAAATCAATTACTTGTTAACTGGTTTTATGGAAACAAATGCCTTGTGTCTGCGTAAAAGTAATTTGCTTTTTGACTTCAATATTTCTGTTGCTCTGAATCCATCTATTTCTTTAGAAAATTTGTAGCAGGATAAAAGTTTTCAGATAACCTCTTGTTTTCTGACAATTAGTGCTGCATTAGCAAGAAGTCAGTGTATGAATAAATAGACTTTGACTGTTGATTGGGTTTTGGTAGTGCCAATGTCTTCTTTGAGGCTTTAAAATGTCACCAAAATACATTTGTGTGGGCACTAAACTGGTAACAGCCACTGCTAGTGCCTTCAGCAGTATCTGTGCTTCAGTGCTCCTGATTTCTGTCTCATTTTCAGGTAATTTTTATGGTACTCCAAAGCCTCCAGCAGAGCCCAGCCCCTTTCAGCCTGATCCAGTGGATCAAGTTCTTTTTGACAATGATTTTGATACTGAATCGCAGAGGAAAAGAACCACATCCGTCAGCAAAATGCAAAGGATGGAAAGTTCTCTCCCTGAGGAGGAGGAAGAGGAAGAAAAGGAAGCAGTTAATGGCAGTGGAGGGATAGGTTGGTTGACAAGGGGAGAAATTCCCTGGAGTATTGTATGAATGGATAAGGACTATACAAAAAACATTTGTGCTTCCTTAGTTTAGGTGAAGTATGAAGGCAGTTTCTGTTCAGACTGGTGCTTCTATTTGATTTTGAGATGACCTTTTAAAAAGAACCAGCTGTTATCCCAGCCAGATGTGCAGTTGCATCATAAAATGCACTGCTGGTCAAGAACATGTGGTGCTGGATATGGACCAGGGCCAGTTACACGAGCAGGAAGGAAAAATTTGTCCAGTCTTGAAATAACAGAGTCCTTCACAGTGTAGAATTCATACCCTGAAAATGTTACTGTTGAATTTTGAGGCAATCACTGAATTTGTACACAGGAGATTTTAAGGCAGTGATTGGTTGAAGGGGCAACATAAAATTTTCAGATTTTGCCTAGGGAAACTGTCATACAACCTGAAATCACCCAAGGGGGAGCTTGTAGTGAGAAACAAAGCCAAGCATGTGGAGACTGGAGTGGTGTCCAGCAGGACCTTTCTGGGATTGGCAAGATGCCCTTTTCCTTTTGCTGCCATGGTTACTCATCTGGAGGGGGGCAAATTGATGGTGGAGAGGAACTGTCACATTGCATTTGCAGTTGATCCTGTGTGTGACTGTTTAGGACAGTGTTACACTGACCAGACCTGACCTAGTCTTGTCATCTTCAGGGCTGGCAACACCGCAGAGGGGCCAATGGTCAGGCTGGTGGTTGGGTGAAGGTCGTGGACATTGTCATGTCACAGAGGGTATCAAGCATAACCTCAGTTCTGAAGGATAGAGACTTCTACTTCAAGTTTCCTGCCGGAATTTTTGGGATCTTTTTTCTAGTTGTGGCTTGTAGCAAGGTGTTGTTTATTTTACTGGCAGTTTGGGTCTTCTCTACATTTCCTTCTGATTCTTTGAGGAATATTAGTAGGATTTTTTGATTGTTTTAAGGCATTACAAACACTGTTCTCTCTGTAGAAATGGCAACAGAACATAGTAAACTTGGATTTCTGCCAGTGTTGATTTTTCAGAGTAGGCTCAGGCACATAATACAAGGTTAATTCTATTTGGCAGGGGAAGAGCAGAGTTCAGTGTTTTCATGTCAGCTTTTTGAACTTCACAGCTGAAAAAAAACGTGAAAAAATGCACATCACATAGAGAGACATGTTTGACATCCACTCGTAGCCAGATTAAGAGGGTGGTTCTTTGTGAGAAACAACATAAGCATCTGACAAACACTTTCCCTGAACAACTGCAGAAAACAAAGAAAAACATTCAGATTCTCCTGACTGGATGAAACCTGTTCCCAGCTACAACCAGACAAGCAGCAACATGGACTTCAGAAATTATTTGTCAAGGGATGAGACCCTGGAACCACTACCCAAGAACTGGGAAATGGCCTACACGGATACTGGCATGATCTACTTCATTGAGTGAGTAACTCAACTCCTTGGAGGAGACAAATGCTGGTGGCTGCAGTCTGGAAAGCTTGCTCTTTCACCTCTCTTCTTCTCGTGCTGCTTCTGTTTCTTTATGAAATTTACTATTTTCCTGCTGTTACACTCCTTACTCATTGAATGCTCGGTACAATTCCCGTTGTGCAGGAAGACCTTATGGTTCCGCCTGCAAAGTCAGTTTGTTTTTTCTAAGTTTTGTATCTCACAAATACAAAGCTGGCTGAGTATTGCTAAGTGACACGTGACATGGAAACCTTCTCTATGTCAAATTTCCCTGAAATTTGAGACCTTGTTTAGCTTCTCTTCTCTGCTTGTGTTCCTTGGCTGGGAATGCGTGTTTCAAAATACAAATAGCCCAGATGAAAGCCCAGGGTAGGAAAGTAGCTTTTGTGTGCACGTGTAAAACTGCCTCATTTATGAGTTCTAAGGCAAAAATGAAACAGAAACCTTCCTGAGAGTTTAGCATATGAGGAGGCTAGACATTTTTTTTTCCTATCAGGTAGAAACAGCTGCTGTTCCCATATGAGCTTTTGGGGGGCTGGGGGGAGGATCTCTGCCTCTAACACTTCCTGTGTGCCCTGGAGAGTCTCCAGTGTGCTGGTGCCTTTTCTTTTTAGCATTTTGTGATGTGATTGAGGCACAAATAAAGGTTGTATTATCTAAAGTCTACATTTTCCTACAATAGTAAATACTTGAAGGAAAGTTTCTTCAGTGTGAGAGAGTTCTCTTACTGGCATGTGTTCTGCTCTACAGTCACAACACCAAGACAACGACATGGCTTGATCCCCGACTCTGTAAGAAGGCCAAAGCTCCTGAAGATTGTGAAGATGGAGGTGAGATGTTCAGAATGCATTTGCCACCTGTCACTGATAAATGTATGAGTTTATTCCAACTGGATACAGTCCATTACTTCTGTGGAAAAAGCTTCTCCCGGGTAGATGTGACTCTGGAGCTGGCAGCATAGTACTGAGTGTCACCTGTTTGGTGGCAGTAGGAATTTACATAGGACTGGGGGGGCTGGGGGGAGGACCTGTGCCTCTAACACTTGCTGGTGTATTTTCCCTGAAATAGTAGAATCTGGCCAAACAAAAGGTGTATCTACATTCCTGAGCAGAATATGAGATGTTTTGTTCCAGTGTCATTCTTAAGGAGAAAGCTCCACGTGAGTGATGATCTCACTGGAAACAGTTGTATAGGAGGAATATGGCAGAAGAAGGTCCATAAGTAACAGAATATAGGAATAACAAAGAAGGTGTGGCAAAATACATATTGCTGATGATAACTATTGCATATGACATAGTATTTGAATGCAGAAGCTAAGGGAGCAATCTGACTGATTGATTTAAATTCCTTCAAGACTTCCAGGTGAGTAGCCTCCAGGCAATTTCTGCAACCATTTTCTACACAGGTGGGCAATTTAGTCTGCTAGGAAAGAGTATCAGGTAGCTCTGTCTTCAGCAAATGCCTGACATGTTCCAAAAGCTGAAGCAGGCTCAGAATGACGTGTCATCCTCCAAAATTGCCCAGCCTAACAGCCATGTCTCCATAATGAAGCCAGCTGGAGCAATGGCTGCATACTGCTGCTTATTAAACGTACATGCAGCTCTTTAAACAGAGATGCAGGATATCCAAATGAACAATGTATAAATTAATGGACCCATTGGGTCTTTAGTCAGACCCTGTGGAGCAATACTGGTATTAGTAATTGGTAACATGCTGTCATGTGCTAGGGAAAGTCCTATTATTGTCAAACTTAGGGCACCCTCAAACAAGATTGCAGGGCAAATTTATCCTTAAAATGTCTGGCTGACTATATTCATTATTCTAATATTTAAATTTCCATGGTCAAGATAACTAGAACAATAAACTTGATAAGCTGACCTCTGTGGTAACTGCTTATTACCTTCAGTCAGTCATGCACTGCTGGCACCCTCTTACCAGATGCTGAATTTGCCATAAAAAGGAGCCTTTTGCATGTAATTTTCAGTACAGACAGGTCTTTAAGTTTATTATATGTTTTAAGTTGTGTGATTTCATTGAATACAAGGCTCATTATTTAGTGCAAGAAGGAGTAAGAGTTGCAGGGCTTCAGATTCCTTTTACCTATCATCCAGGAAGAAAACGAGACCTGAATTTTCCTCATATTTTTCATAAGCCTAGGTGTTCTTTAATGAAAACTCTGATATTTGTGGATAGTTTTTCCCCTGTAATGGAAAATTCGGTCTTTCTGATTGCAGAACTTCCTTATGGATGGGAGAAAATAGAAGACCCTCAATATGGGACATATTACGTTGAGTAAGTGCTAATTATTGATTTGGCATACATAAAAAATTGAGCATGAAACTCTGAAGTCCTTGATCCCCAGTAAGTAGAGATTGTAATGCAATGAAAGGCCGGGGTGGACAGGGCTAGGAACAATCTGGTCTAGTATCAATACTCGTGGCAGGGGGTGGAAGTGCTGGATGGGCTTTAAGGTTCCTTCCAGTCCAAGACATTCTGTGATTCTGTGAAACTATTAAATATATCCAGGAAAAACAGTTCTTGGGTTGCAAACTCATGGCATAAACTTCTGGTAGTATGGGCATGAGGGAAAATCCACAGTGTGACCTTAAAGACTTAAGGACTGTTTTTCATTTGGGGAAAGAAAGCAATTTGCAACCAAAATAATTTATAGATGGAAATGAGCTCATATCATTTTTCTTAGGTTAACAAAAACAGAGTCACTTGACTTAAGAGTAGCACCTGATAACTTTAAAAGAGTAAAAATAACTTGTAGATAATTGCTGTCTTCAAAAAGTCAAGTCAATAACCACCAAACTGCTGCAGGAGCTCTTTTGAATCTCCTTCAGGCCAGAGGAAATTAAATCTCTCCTTAACCATGGAGAAGAAAAATGGTAGAGTTGAAAATGTAGCTTCAGAGAACGAGCAAACATTTTTCACTTAGCAAAATTTGAATTATGCTCAAATTCGTTGGTTTTCCCCTCCTATGCTGTACTTCTCTATCATCTGCTAGGGAAAAGGTGATGCCTGAGTTTGTAAATAGTATAGGTCGATGGGTCAAGAGAAAAAGCAGATTTGCTCAGATCTAAACTATCACAACTCTGCCTGGCAATTAAAGGAAGTAAAATTTTATTTGCCTCAAAGTAAGTAAACCACTGGAAGAGTGAGCATATTTTCAGTATTAGTTATGAGAGGTTTTTTGTTCATTTCTCCAGAGCATTCATCTGACATAATAAAAAACAGTGTTTGTAGATGTGTTTTTTTGGGATTGTCTTTTTTGGGAAGGAGTCAGAATGTTTTCTGTTGAAATCCTGACCTACCTTTTGTATGTCTGCAGTCATATTAACCAGAAAACTCAGTTTGAAAACCCAGTATTGGAAGCCAAAAGGAAAAAACAGCTAGGACATACTGATGCTGGCCCTTCCAAATCAGGTATCACTGAATATTGTGTTCTTTGTCACATATATTTTTATCTGCAAGTATGCTTTATAAAAATCCCGTTCTGGAATTCACGAAGGCATCGGCCTTGTCTTTTTGCTAGCCATTGCGATGTTACCCTCCAAGATCTTTTGGGTTTTTTGAAGGATTTTTTCATGTTAAAATTGAACTGACACATTAAGACTGCTTCTAAATAATTTTGGTTGTTCTGAAGCCGGTTCTCATAAACAGCTTTGGAATATCTGGAGGGTTAGAAGAGCCATCTGGAAGTGCAGGTAAAGCCACACCTGGACTTTTTATGCTTTTGATCTACTTTAAGCTTGGTATTCAAGGACAAAAATTAGGAATTTGAGGTGGAAGGTTTGCATACAGCTCTGTTGCAATTTGTTCAGAAAAACTCTTTTCCATGCACTGAATTCAACTGGAAAATGAGTTTAGCACTTCCCTGTCTGTTTATCCTTTAAAACTGCTTCAGAAGCTGATAAACTATAAACTAGTCACTAACCTTTGTGACACCTTAAAAACCAGAATTAACCCTGGCTTACTGCCCTCCTGTCTCTGTATTCCATAATTCTAAAGGACCAGGAAGGTCTCTCTTCACTCGAGATCCATCCCAGCTTACTGGAGCACTCATAAGAACATCCCTGAAAAAAAGTACTATGGGATTTGGCTTCACAATCATCGGAGGGGACAGGCCTGACGAGTTTCTTCAGGTGAAGAATGTGTTACAAGATGGACCCGCTGCGCAAGATGGAAGAATTGCTCCAGGTCAGGTGTTATTTCTGTAAACTTCCATTTCCTGGGGTGCTTTGGAGAACACAGCTTGAGGCACAGGAGGTTGGAGGACTCCATACACATCCTCACTAAATAAAATATTTTCATATTTGTGAAAGATCTGTGCAGAGCAGTGGCTGAAAAGGAAAAGAAGCAGCATTCTAGATAAAAATTGACTTTAAGGGCACTTCTGAAGATTTCAGTACTTCTGCTTTACCAAAGACACTTATCTTCATGTTTATTCATAGAATGGTTTCTCTCTCTGTAAGCGAAGTAAAAATAATGTGTTTGAATCCTAGTCTGTTTTGCCTTGTTGCTGCCAGAAACCATGACACCGATTATTAAAACTGCAGAAAGCCCACAGCAGGAGTAAGGAAGCAAAGTTGTGTGAGCTGGACAAGGGAGGAGAGAAGAGGGATGAGCAACCCATGAGAACTTATGCATTTTTTCATGGTTATTACATGTGTAATTAAGTTACCTGTAACCTTACCATAACCTCTGGTTTGCATATTAGAAAAGGTGAAATGCTTCTTTGCCTATAACATAAACACTTACTCTTGAGCAAATGAGTAAAAGAACTCATACTTGGAATGATAATACTATTAACTCACAAAATGGAACAATTTCCTGTTTTGTTGCTGATGTATTGTTTGAACTTGTTTGTATGTGGTTCATTTTCCACCTTTGCAAAAATGTAAACAATCCTGCAGAACTGTTGGAATGGAAAAGACATGCAGCTATTCTGATTGTAATTCATGGAATAAGGGAGATCCTGTTTTACTGCTGCCTGGGCATTAAAGGGATAGGACAGTTTGCAGGACATATTGTACCTCACATGCAAAGTTTCGCATCAAAATTATGAAAACATGAAACAAGGTTTTGGGATCTGAAGCCCACATAAGTTCATTTTGAAAATGTATTCTTAGCCATGTGTGGCAGCAGTGTAAGAGTATGTGTGTGTGCACAATCCTAGCTTAAGTTCAGCCAGACCTAAAATAAACACGAGGCCAAAAAAATCCGATTTATTCTGCATTGGGTTTAGGATGCTCTGCAATATAAATTAAAGTAGAAGACATCTGCTTGCTGTAGTGTGCGTGCTCTGCTTCATCTCCTGTGGCTGTACAGTATCATTTTTTAAATCTGCAGATTAAACTTTATATATTTAGCACGCTGTGCCCTGAGATGAAATAGAATAAATGCAAAGAGGAAATCCTTTATGCTTTTTGACAATATTAGCCATGAGGTAATATCCCAGACACTAGTTATTAAGTTGTTATTAAGTTATTAATTTGAAGACAGCACTGTGATTTCTGCAAGGTAGGCTTTTATTGAAGGTTTCGCTTCTGTTTTTGACACTGTCAAAATTTCTTTTCTAACAGGTGACGTCATCGTGGACATAAATGGAAGCTGTGTCCTTGGCCATACCCATGCAGATGTTGTCCAGATGTTTCAGCTCATTCCCATCAATCAGTATGTGAACATGACTTTGTGTCGTGGGTACCCTCTTCCTGATGACAATGAAGACCCCGTGGTGGATATAGTGACAGCCACGCCTGTCATTAATGGTCCGCCGGTGGCCAAGGGAGATGCTTCCATGTCCAGCCAAGATTTAGTAGCGGCAACAGTTGTGTTGGACCAGAATGGGAAGGTGTTGGTCAACGGTCGCCTGAACGGCCCTTCTGTGGATTCAGCGGAGCAAAGGGTCTCCTTTGCCTCCTCAGGAGGCTCTCAGCCAGAGCTGGTCACCATCCCTCTGATCAAAGGGCCTAAAGGCTTTGGGTTTGCCATTGCAGACAGTCCCACAGGCCAGAAGGTGAAGATGATTTTGGACAGCCAGTGGTGCCAAGGCCTACAGAAAGGGGATGTCATCAAGGAGATTTGCCATCAGAATGTGCAGAGCCTGACCCACTTGCAGGTGGTGGAGGTGCTCAAGCAGTTTCCAGTGGGAGCAGAGGTGCCCCTGCTTATCTTAAGAGGAGGTACAGACAAAATTGCAGTTGTCATATTGGTTATAAGTTTTTAAAAGTCCTATTTTAGTGTGATATCTAAATTGTGTCCAGTGTTGACAGCTAAGCAGCAGTTCATTCTATCTCTGAGCTATTGTGTTCTAAGTTTGATTTAAACCCCTCACTATTTAGGGTGAGAGCATGTTGCTGGGGTTTTGTTTGAAGTTTTAGTTAGGTTTTTCTTTGGGTCTTTTTCCCTCAACAATTATATGGTGATATGTTTATGCACTGTCTCTTCCAAGTCTCTCGGGAGTGCTAGAGCAAACACGTGGTCTCCAGTGTAATGCAAAGCATATGATGGACTGAGTTTTGTGCGGTTCTTCAAATATATTCTAGTAATTGTGTCTGTAAAGAACAGGGGATTGCAGGAGATGGGAAGAAGCATTAGTGAAGAGGTGGTGCTGGTCACTGGGAATAGCAGAAAAAATTCTGTTTTCCTTTGCATATTCATACCCCTTCCTTGATTGTCAGTCACAGACCGGAATGCATCTTCTCCCCAAAAACTGTAGTAGACAGTGTCTGTCTTTCAAAGGAAGCTGAATCTGAATGAATTATGAGGCAGCTCGTGGCCGTTCAGTGTCCCTTCAGGCTTTATTGTAACCCTGACTTCGGCCGCTGCTATTTGCAAAAATCTCTGGATCTTTTTCTGTATAAATACTACTGTTCCTTAATCAGCTAAGGAAATAATTAGATTTCTGTGTGGCAAGTGAAATTCCTTCAGACAAATTCATAAGTCTCCTTATCCCATGAACTGAGGGGTGACTTGGCTGACCAGCTTCCAGCAGAAGGAGAAATAGATATTTTTCATTGTTGTACAGCTTTCCGTTCTAATTGAGACTTCTCTAAAGTGGTGGTTTTGGTCACTTTGCCATTTAAAAGCACACTGAATCAGCTGCTATTATTTTTACTCCAGGGGCAGCTGATTATATTGCTGAAATGTTGTTGAAACTTTTTGTAACCTGCTATTAAAGTTACTTTCTGTTTTCTTCAGGTCCACCTTCCCCTACTAAAACTGCCAAAGGAGTGAGTATTGGTGATGTATTTAACTTGTTTCTGACCTGCTTTGTAATCTCATTTCCTCTGTATTTTAGTACCTGTGATAACCTGCAAGATGGTTTAGCAAAACCGCATCTGCTTGGTAGGCAAAAATTCTTTGTCTAAGTTAGAGTACCCATTAAAAGGGAAACAAAATACAGTATCTGTTTTTTTCATTCCTAAAGGAAGCTTATGATCCTTTGATTCTTCTCAGTCCTCGCATAGAATTAATGGACTGGTTAGTGCTCTCTTTTGGAAATGCTTATCTTTGGATCCATATTTTCAGCAAGTCTCTATGGAGCTGTACATTCCTAGCTCAATACTCATTGCTCTTGGAATTTTGATCTGTCAGGACATCTTTAATATGTATTAGCTCAGTAAAGAATCCTTGGTCTTAATAGAACAACCTCTGATTTAATAACGCTGATATTAATGCTTATGTTTATTATGAAGGTTTCTGTTGTAAATTAGACTGGTCGAACACAGATACTTCTTTAAAAATGCTTCTTGTGCAGAACAAATCAGGGCAATTTATGAAAACCCCATTACCAGAACATAGCTGTAACTTCTCTTTCTATCTTTATCCTGCTGTTTGAGTGCAACCTTAGTTGCATCCCAGCAGTGGAATGACACAAGCACACATGTGTTCAGCATGCTCAAAGATGACTGTGCTCAATAAGATCTTCAGATTCAGTTCCTTGCAAGCATCCACCTGCCCGCACTGAATAAATCAGAACATAAATCCCTGCAGTTGGAGGGCCCTGGTCCTGTCAGCATGGATCCCATGGCAATGTGCTAAAAATAGTTTGGACTTGGGTACCGGCATTCTATTCCAGCACACATACAGCAGCAACAGCCCACAGAGTGCTGATGCTCAGTGGCATTAAGCAGTGTGGCAAAATAATTCACTTAAAAAGGGCAAGTTCTTGTGTTTATAAACGTACAAGAAGTGTCAAACTGCTGCATGGCTCTGCGCAGTTTCTTCTGCTCTTGATGAAAGGGCAGATCTACATCTGTTCTGCTCCTGCTGTGGTTTGGCATGCACTGCCACGTGCCAGCTTTCCAGTCTGGATTTCAGCGCAGAAGAAATATTTAGAGTTATTTTGTTGCATAATTGATTGGGGATTTAGATGAAACAAGGGTGTCCTTGCCTCATGAACAGGAGAGTTGCAGCTGTCAGATCATGAAAAGACGAAAAAGGCAAGTTGTTAATACCTCACACTGCCCAGGTGTGTCCTCCTGCCCCGTTGTATATTGCTCCAGCAAACAGCTCATGCTAGGAGCACCCCTGGTGCTTGTGGGGAGGGGCTTGGCAAAGGAGGCAGTGCTGATGAGGAGTAGCGTGTGCCTTTGGTGCTGGATTGTTGGCCCACAGCCAGGCAGGCACCTGACAAGGATTCGGTGTCTTCTTCAAACATGATCAGTCCTTTTGCCCCACTTCATCCCATGTGTTGGTAACTACTAGCATCTGCCCATCTTCACTCCTCTCTGAGTGACCTTAAAACTCAGTCACTTCAAACTCTTTCCAATGCTAGTCTCCAGTAGAAACTCATGTACAAGTGAGGAAGACTTTAGTACTCTGGTCAGACATATCCACTGGAAAAGCTGTAATTTTGTTCCTTTCTTCCTGTCTATTTCTTCTGCATGGTGTTCATTGTCTTTGCACACACAAGTGTAGTCATGCCTTTATTTAATGTGGATTTTGCATCTGTGGGCTGTTTCAGAAAGACAGGCAGGACAGTTCCGGGAGTTTGGAAGCTGTCAGCGATACCATTCCGCAGCCGATGCCCTTCCCGCCCTCTGCTGTGCGACCAGGCTCTCCTAAACTGGACCCGTCTGAAGTCTACCTGAAGTCTAAGACAATTTACGAGGACAAACGTAAGTACATAATCTTCATCTCGAAAATACTGTGTTATGAGGGAATTTTTTCTCTTCTTGCATGTGCAGTAAAACTACTGAGACTTTGTTGCTAAGTTTGTTAACCTGCTGTGGATAAAACGTTTCAAGTGATGCATCATTCAAACAGCAATCAGAAAAACAAAAAGGATAAAGTTATGTTTCAGCCGTATTTTCAGTAAAACAGTTAATTGCAGAAATAATGTCAAGGGTGGTTCTGAAGTAAACTGCAGCAGACCTGCTTATAAAAGTAGTTCTGAGTTGTGTTACAGAGTGGCTTTTATCCTGGTCTGCTGCACAGATGTAGTTGAGATTTCTGCTTTGAAAATTAATGTTACCATTTTGGAAAGAGAATATCACTGTACTTCTGGTTGCTGTGTTTTGTCACTAGAAGACTCAGAGTGTACCACCAAAGCATAATCCTTCAAGAACTCCTCAATATCCAGGATAGCTCCTTACATGTTTTGAAATACTGTTTTTCTTTTTCTTAGCTCCAAACACAAGAGATTTAGATGTTTTCCTGAGAAAACAAGAGTCAGGCTTTGGTTTCCGGGTGCTTGGTGGGGACGGACCAGATCAGCCTGTAAGTGAAAATGATCACAGTTATTCACAGTATTGCTGTTGGGATGATCCTACTCTGTCATCCCCATTTCCCATCATCCCATCCAGGCAGCTCAGTGATGGCAAAATTGATTGATTCGTACCTGTCTTTCAGAGATCAGGAGTTAGTCCTCATTACCTTTATTTTTTCCCCTCTTCCTGGACTCCATTCTCCAAGGTTCTGCACCTTTCCCGCTACCGAGCCCATCCTTGGCCGCAATTTTCTGTCGGGCCGAGGACACTGGCGGTGTTTCTACAGCTGTTGCTGTGTCTCGGAGCCCTCGGAAGGGCCATGCTGGTCCCCAGCCCTTGCCCATTGTCATCTGATCCCAGTAGTGATCAGTCATTGGTGAGCTGTGCACAGCAGTGCATCCTGGGAAGCAGCTGAGTGGAAGGAAGTGGTTGCTCCTTCTGTCAAAATTTCATTAGGCTGTTCCTTTCCTTGCTGCCCAGTGAAATGAGGTTTGAGATGGTGACACACCCCTTTTATTCCCTGCTGCTCCTGCTGGATTTTTAGGCATGCGTCGGAGGCAGCTGGGCAAATGCCAGACCAGACACCCCTGGATGGTGTGCTCTCCAAGGGCAGGTTTTAGGAGACTCCCCTGTATTTTCAAACATGCATAAATTTCTCTTTGGGAAGAAGCTCTAAGACTTATACTATATATCAGGGACCTTTCTTTAGGCTGTTTAAGTGGAGAGAAAAAGCTTTTGGAATAGATCTGCGTAGATTGTTTTCCAATTACAGTGAAGGAATTTGGTTTTTCCATTCCCAGCTGTGATTCAATGCTAGCCTTTTTTTTTTCTTTCTCCCTCACTAATATGCATTTAAAGTAAAAAGCAAACACAGAGAATGTTACTTCTGTTGCACTTTATAGCATTTGTGGTGTTTGGTTTCCATAACACCCATAGCTATTAGGAAGTGTGGAGCTGATGTCTTGAGTGCTGTGTACTGATGAGCTGCCCGCCATTCTTAACCTCCAGCAATACTAGCTGTGGTTACCCGTAATCTTCCATTTAATTGAAAATGATTGTAGCATGTGAAATTTAGTGTGGTGTTCTTCTCTGTGTTATATTTAGTAGCACTTATTGAGGTGGGGGGTAGGCAGAACTGTTGGTGTTTGAATTCATTACCTAATTACCAAAAGCTGAGAACTGAAGCAACTTGAAATGTGGAACTGTCTATAAGCAACTTTTCAGAAACAAACTTGAGTTTGTTCAAAAGCTTTTATTTCTTCCCCAGTCATTCTTCCTCAGTCTTGGTAAAAAAAAAAAAATAAAAATAGAGTAGATTGAATGTCAGAGGCTTTTGTGTCATAAATATCTAGGAAATCATATATATAATAAGTACACGGTGTGTGCTCATTTCAAAAATTTTTCTTTCTAATAAACTGGCAAACATGCTCAAGAGAGAAGAACTGACAAAAATATAGATTAAAGATTTTTGAAGTATTTAGTGAATGCTTTGAGACTCCAGATTGTCTCCACTAGATCAGCTTGTGCAGAGTACACTTGCTGGCTGCATTTCTGCTAGAGCTGGACAGTGAGGTAATCTTTAAAAAAAATGTTCCCCAAAAGACCTCTTCTGCACAGATTCACGTGGATTCCAACCACTGTGTGTTCTGATGAACTCATGTTCCCTTTCAAACCCCTGGACTCTGCTCACAGATTTATATTGGAGCCATAATCCCATTGGGAGCAGCGGAAAAGGACGGGAGGCTGCGTGCAGCGGATGAGCTGATGTGCATTGATGGAGTCCCTGTGAAAGGGAAGTCACACAAGCAAGTTCTGGATTTAATGACCAGTGCTGCACGAAACGGACAGGTGCTGCTCACTGTCCGGAGGAAGATCTTCTTCAGTGGTAGGTGTCTGCTTGCCTAGAAAGAGCACTTAGGGCTTGTAATCAAATCCACTGAAGTTGCTCTGGAACTTAATTACTGGTCTGGAGCTGAGCAGCCTGAGATTGAGGAAGGTGAGCTATAACTCTTAAATGGAGAAAAGCAGAATTTAAGAGGCTTGGACTCTGTTGCTCGCTAGCTTGCACTGCTCACACAGGTAAGGCTCTGAAAGTTATGATGCAGGGGTGGTTTCTTCAAACCTTTTTGCAAGTAGTAGTTAGAACAGCCATTAGTGCTATGGAAATTGCATGATAATGCAGTCTGTTTTCTCGACATCCCAGAATGGTTTGGGTTGGAAGGGACCTTAAAACACATTTCTTCCCACACCCTGCCGTGGGCAGGGGCACCTTCTATATGCTGTATTCTCAAGTTTTTTAGCATTAGAGTGTAGGAAGATTAACTGTATTCAAACTAGAGCTGTTTCAGAGCAAGATCTTGAGATGCTGCAGTTTTAGATCAGCGTCCAGATCAACACTTTAGAGAAGATTAGTCTGTGACTCCATCAATGACAAAGCTGGGGTGGGATTTACAGCTGACAAGGGCCCCCTGCTCTGATTATTAACTGCTGTTGCCACCTCATGCTGGTACTGACAACTGAGCTTCAGGGTTGTGCTGAAGTTGCTTTGTGTGATTTGTACCTTATTTGTTGTTTGTCTGTTCCCTGCAAGGGGAAAAGCAGGCAGAGGAGGAGGAGCCGCACCCTGTCCTGACACAGAACAGCTCTCCTCGGCTGAACCGTGCTGACTTTGCCAACCAGCCATGCCCGGAGGTCTACGACGTCCGTCTGCAGCGGAAGGAGAACGAAGGATTTGGCTTTGTCATCCTCACCTCCAAAACCAAACCTCCTCCTGGGGGTAAGTGCCATGTCCTGGTGGCTCTGCCTCTGCTTAACCTCGCTGGGGCTTCTCCACGGATATGTCTTCCTGTGCAGTGCTGGTGTTTCCCTCACAGTCAGCTTTCACTCTCACTGGCACAGCCCAGCCAGTTGTGTTGGTATGTCTTTCTTCATACTTACGCTCTTGTTCACTCAACTGTGACAGAAATGCGGAAAAGGGAATTTATATCTCACCCAAGAGTGTGCACTTGTCCCAGGGCAGCATTTGGGATGTAGATCTTTGTCAGGCTCTAGTGATGTTGCATTAATTCATTGGCATTTTAATGGAAGCATAGTTTCAACTGTGGCTTTATATTACCTAATCAGGTAAAAATTCTTATTCTGGACATCTGAGGAAGTACAGTGTACAGTATTTGATGGAAAACTATGAACTTGTTACTGTCCTTGAGTGTGTTTGTCTAGAAAGATCATCAAAATGAAAAAGTAGTCTGGTCTGGTATTGCAGTTGTGAGATATTGACGCGGTTCAGGCATAGTTGTCTCTAGTTCTGCCTCTGCGTTCGTCTCTGGCAAAAGGACTGAAATCGAACTTTTTGTCTTCTACTTCTCAGAACATTTCTTCTGTTCTCCAGTCTGTCTGTTCTGGCCCCAGAGCTTTGGTTTCTGGAGGAGTCTGTGCAGGGCATGGTGTCGCTCTGGGGTGAACTGAGGGAACCAAGGCAGGAGAGCTGGAGGAAATTTGAGACAATTTTTACAAGTGCATATTCATCTCAGAGACCAGGAAAAGCGGTCAGGTCTATGCAAATCTGATGTAGCACCTTGCACAGGCTCCCTGCTCAGGTACTCACCCAGCTGAATCAGTCGCCGGCAGGAGAATCAGTCCCCAGCAGGAGAAGTTTGATATATTTTTAAAGTGTGTTAAGAGTTAATTTTTGTTTGCAAGTAGGAAGAGCTTGCCCATGCATCTGGATGTCTGTGTTACAGTGGATGGCCGTAAGTCTCTCTGAGCCCACACTGTCTGTCAGGTCGATGCATGAAATGGTAAACTACACTATATATGGTAAAACCAGCTGTTCTGGTGCACTCCAGGGACATACATTCTCACTCATCCCTTTGCAAATATGATCCATTTCCTTCAGGCACAGCACCCTGTACGTGACAAGGCCATGCTGTGTGGTTGGCATCTCCATTCACTCACAGTGAAACATTCCTCGTTATTTGTAGGTGTGTCCTGTACAAGCAGTTTCACCCTTTGGAGTAGGAGAGGAGGGACAAACACTGATCTTTGCTCTGTGGTGACCAGTGACAGGACCAAGAGAACAGCTGGAGCTGTGCCAGAGGAGAGTTAGGTTGAATATTAGGAAAAGCTTCTTTGCCCAGAAGGTGGTGAGGCACTGAACAGGCTCCTCAAGGAAGCAGTCACAGGCCCAAGGCTGCCAGAGCTAAAGCAGTGTTTGGACAACACTCTTCAGGCGCAAGATGGGATTTGTTTGGATTTTGGGATGTCCTCTGCAGTGCCAGGAGTTGATGATCCTTGTGCGTCCCTCCAACTCAGCATATTTTGTGATTCTGTGACTGGCAGTTCTGGGTCTATGTGATGCTTATCTGATGTGCACATGGTAGAATTCTTGAGGCTGTCCTGTGCAGGGCCGGGATTTGGCTTTTCATCCTTGTGAATCCCTTCCCGCTCATGATATGCCATAATTTTGTGAATACTTACAGTGTTGCTGTGCCTGTTCTTGTTTCTTAGTGATTCCTCACAAGATCGGGCGGGTTATTGAGGGAAGCCCGGCTGACCAGTGTGGGAAGCTGAAGGTGGGTGATAGAATCTCAGCGGTAAACAGCCAGTCCATTGTGGAGCTCTCCCATGACAGCATTGTGCAACTCATCAAAGATGCAGGCAACGTGGTGACCCTCACAGTGGTGGCTGAGGAAGGTAAGGAAGGTGCCACCACACTGTCAAAGTTGGGTATTTATCACTGCTGAAGTTTATTGGCTTAAATGGAGCATTTGAAGATGTTTGGAAATTTAGGGGAGTAAATCTTAGAATATCCTGAGTTGAGTGGGACCCATGGGGGTCATCAAGTCCTGGAAGTTGAATAAGTTGGAAGCTCATGTGTTTGCTCTGGAAGAGCTAAAGGCAGGTGGGATAGAGAGAGGAGCTGCCACAATAAGGTGCTTGTACCCAATAAGGGGCTAAAATTAGTAACAATGCAATGAAGAGTGAGAGAAGTTGGCTTTCTTGACCTTTGAAATAAGACTTAGGTAGAGCCAGGCTGTGAATAAAGCCAGCAGATGATTCTCTAATTTCACGTTCATTGCAAATATTTAACATGCCATCTCAGCCTGTAACGCAGAATGTCAAAGACCTAATATTCCTTTTTGTTAATGCTTGAAGTAGAGAGACTTCTATAAGTTGTTATTTTTCTATTAAGATTTTTATTTTTATCAAAACTGGTTCATTCCAGTTTGAAAGGACACACTTCAAAGCAGTTGCCATGGGTGATGTTTATAAAGCAACCGAAGTTTGGTTGAATTAGATCTGTTTTCTCTGCAGCTTTTAGTCATCAAATACAGACTGATTTGGGTTGGAAGGACCTGAAAGCCCATGGGGCTGCCATGGACAGGAACACCTTCCACTTGTTTTCAAAATAAATTTTCTGAATATCATATTTCTACCCATTATTTGTGTATGACCTTGCATGAACTTTGTGCAAAAACCTTTTCCACTGCCTCAATTACAGATTTGGAGCCAAAATACAGAGAGAAAAACACAACCTGGGGAGACTCAACAAAGAGAGGAAAGAACCCCTCAGTAGCAGGTGGTAAAACCAGAGAAAAGATCAGTCAGAAAAAATCTGTGGCTCAGAGGAGCTGGAGTTGGCGTGTTTGAGATGTAAAGAATTTTGTGACAGTGAAGGAGAAAGAAGCAGAGCTGGTCCCACTGGAGTGGGAATATATCTCCACTTTAAAATTCCCCTCGATGTAGCTGAAGAAATAAGAGTTTAGCTCCCAGTAGAGCCCTGTGTAGTGGGGGAATCCAGCATGGATGTGGGCGAGTCGAGGCTTCAGACACTCAGGGACAGAGCTGAGCCTCACAAGGCTGCTTCACACCCAGGAAAATCCAGGATACAGCTCCAAAAACACAAAATGCCCTTTTTGCTGGAAGCTGTTGAGCCTCGCAAGGCAGAAACCCTGATAGAGTTTGCTGTTCCCTAGCTTTGTCCTCTGAGAGTGGCAACAAAACCTCTGCCTGGTCCCCTTCCCTACCCCTAGGCTTTCACAGGCCTGTGATCTTTGCTTTGCTTTTCATGAGATTAAATGAATTCCCTTCATGCGCCAGAAGAAATTCTTTAACATTTTTCACAAAAGCAGGAGCCTGTCAGCTTTTGTCATGTATTAGTTGGGAACACACGAGAGGAGGCTGCAGAGAGGGCTGCAGGATTTGTACAAACAGATGGCGTTTTTCTTGCCCATGCTTCTAAATTAAAAATCTGAGGAGTAAAAGTTGACATTTTGTCTCTAGAGAAAAACCTCTTGAAGGCATGTCATGAGAACAGCATCAAGCAGATGTGTGGAGGGCTCGGGAGGTCTCACATACCTGAGAAATTCAGTGTTATATGCTTTAAATTTCTCTCCCCTTAACATTCTTGAGCACTTTTTTGTATTTTAGTGGAATTTGTTTGTTCTTAATTAAGAAATGCAGTGATGTGCTGCATCTAATGGGGCTGGAACGTCTCTAGTTCTGGTGCTGGGAATTATTGATTGCTTTCTAACCCTTTCAGGGAAAAGGAGGTAATAGTTTATATTTCAGCACAGAAGTCCATCTTGGGCCACTGCTTGCCATTCAGGTTCCAGCTAAGAGGCAGCTTTTTGCATAGGCTGTGGATCTTTATTCTTAAGCGAGTGTCAGTTTTGTATCCAGAAACATGGGGCTTTTTCCAGAAATGCACTGGATGTTTGTAAAGTGCACACTAACAGTATTTTCCCTGGAGGGAAAAATAATAGGAAGTTATTTTAAATGGTTTTATCAAAACCTTTTTTTTCACTTAACTTTTGGGAGAAGGCAAAAGACTTTAACATTCCTCTTGATTGCCTGCCAGTAAACTCCTTCTCCCAAGAGACCAGTTCCTTACCTGGAGCTGGGCAATGGAAAACTGTTGTGCCTTAAATGAGTTGGCAATTTCCCTTTTTTTGATGGGGCCTTCACCTCTAAATCCCCATTTCTCCTGCAGATCCTCATCCCCTTACCTTAAAGAGGGGTATTTCTCAAATGGACATTGTTCTTCATCTCTTAAAAAATCTTATGATAATGAATATCTGAACCAATTTAATGGATCTAATCAGCCCTGATCCCCTCTGGCATTTATTAAGTTGCTGACAGGCTAAAACCCTTCTGTTCCTGTCAGGATCCATACAATTGTGTTGGTATTTCCAGAGGAAAAGCAGAGTAAAAGAATAAAAATAAAGACTAGAATTCCTAAGAATGTATTCCATGGAACTGATGAGCTGTACTTGTGTCCCTGGCTTGGAAAATCCTCTCTCCATTGTGCCCACATGAGCTTGGTTCAAGGTGTTGTGGCTGCAGTTCCTTGGGAGCAGTAGCCCCCAGCACTGGTGGTGACCATTGTCCTGGCTGCAGATTTGTGAAGTTGTGACTGTTGATTTTGTTTGGATTCTAGAGCAACGTGGTCCTCCATCAGGAACAAACTCCGCCAGGCAGAGCCCAGCCCCACAGCACCGACCACTGGGATTGGCACCGATCAACCCTGACAGGTTGGGAAAAAGGGGCTGGGAATGGTGGGAAAAGCTTGGCCAGAGGGATTAATGTGAAGGCAACATCCACGTCCTTTCACCTTTCCGTAGGGGAGCTACAGAAGGTGAAGCTGGAAAAGAAGTTTCTAATAGTTACCGGCTGTCCTGGCCTGAGCACAAGCACATGGCACAGTTGGATGCTGCTTCAGGTGTTGGCAGCCGTCATTCCCAGGTACAAGAATCCATCTAGAGGGTGTGGAGACGCAGGGAATACTCATCCATCAAGGCACTCTAGTGACATTACCACAAAGTTCTCAAAAGCAGAACGTTAAAACATTTCCCTGTCGGATACAGGTAGAACAGTTGTGTATAAAAATATACTGAAGTGTCTCACAGAATGTTTTTGCTCATGTTTCAAATGTGATTATCTCCTATGGGTAGTTGAACACTCATTATAGCTATGAAAAAAACTCAAAATGCTTGTAATGGAGTGACTATAGACCCTTTGGCAAAGTTTCTTCAAGAATTTTGTGCCTATCTCAGACTTAGAAGGAAAGATGTTCTGAATGTTTGGACTTGGATTAAAACCATTATCCTGAGTCATCCCTGAGTTGGGATGAATGCTGTTTAAGTGCTCAAAATATAGAAATATTGTGATATTTTTCTAGAAAAACAGAAGGTTAAATCTGCCTACAGGTCCTCATCTCTCTCTTCCCCCCCCCCCCCCCCCCCGTGACTTCCTGCACAGAATGCTGGCTGTTTCCCAGTGGAGTTGGAAAGGGGCCCTCGAGGGTTTGGATTCAGCCTCCGAGGAGGAAAGGAATACAACATGGGCTTATTCATCCTCCGTCTGGCTGAGGATGGGCCGGCAGTCAAGGATGGGAGAGTCCACGTAGGTTTCTCTTCTCTAATCAATTTGTTGATGCAGTTGATACATTAATTTATCCAGAGTGGCAACAAACTTGAATTTTCACAAGTACAGGGTCCCAGAACAGCATCTGAGCCTTTGCCCTTCTTCCAGCTGTCCCTGGAAAAAGGGCAAAGCTGGCCATGGGCTTTTAGATGAGACGACCATGAACGGCTCTGGCCGTCCCAAAGGAATTGTCTGCTTTGCTGGGGTTACAGTAGCATCCCTGAGTGTGAGTAGCAGGTATTCATGGGTATTTTAGGAGCCCCAAGAGGAGATTGCACAGTGCACCAGAGAGCTGGGAGGAGAATCACTGTCCAAGTCAGTTAAGTTGTGAGGAATGTTTGTGTGTACATTGTGCTGCGGCTGTTCTATGTCATTTCTGGAGACACAGTCCTGATTTTTTCCCCAAATATTATGTTAATTCTTGCCTTTGTGTAAGGAATTCACTCTCAAATATTGTAGTAAAAGCAAAGTACATGGATACAACAGAAGGAACAATGGTAAGCAAGACTCTGTGGCTGCTGCCCAGGGTTGGATTTTCGGAGACTGAAGCATCAAGGTGAGCCAGGTGCCCATGAGATGCCATCCCTTGCAGTCCTTGTGCTTCCCTGTTGCTGGCACGAGGCTCTGCCTCTCTTTGTCCTCTATTTGCAGAATGGGGCTGGCACAGATACTTGCTGCGAGCTTAAATGGATGTGGAATTCTTAGTATTCCTAACTTCTCTTATCCTGTTCTTCACAGTAATTAGTATTTTCCCCCACTTGCTTGAGAGACAGCACAAGTTGAGCATTCAGTGCTCATATTTTTTTCTCATTGTCCTCCTTCAAGTGATGTCACATTGAGCTCCAGGGCTTTGCTTTTTGGGCAAAGCAACCAAAAAAATTGTTCAGCCCAGAGAAGAAGAGCCAGAGGTCAGACCTCACCGGGGTCTGCAGCTTCCTCCTGAGAGGCAGGACCAGTGTCAGGCCCTGGAGGAATGGCTGGAGCTGTGTCAGGGGAGGGTTATGTTAGATATTGGGAAAAGGTTCTTCCCTCTGAGAGTGGTCTGGCATTGGAACAGGCTACCCAGGAAATGGTCACAACCCCAAGGCTGCCAGAGTTCAAAGAGTGCTTGGACAATGCTTTCAGGCACAGGATGGGATTGTCTGGGTGTCTTGTGCCGAGCCACATCTTTGATCTTCCCATCCTCGACACTAAGCTCCTCCCAGTGCTGGCATGTGCCAAGTCCCCAGCCCAGCCCACAGCACGATGGGCTGAGCTCGCCCAGCCTGAGGTTATTAATATTTTTAATTTCTTGTCATCTGGATGTGGTGTCTCTTTCTGGTTGTACTTCAACAGTGTGAGGAGGAACTTCTCATCCAGCTAGCTGAACTGTCCCGGTGTGTCTCAGACCCATCCTGTCCATGAAGAGCCAGCAGTGACCTCCTTTTGCAGAGTGACTTCAAAAAAGGCCAGGAAGCCTCTTTAAGCTGCTAATGTTACACACCAGTGACATCTGTTGGCTGCTGTGTGCAGTGCCAGATAGGCTCCCGCTCCCTTTTTTCCCCCGTTTCCCTTCTCAGTTTTGCCTAATAGAGAACTATTTTTGGGGTATGCTATTCCAGCCCCTTTCCAGCAGCCAGGGAAATTAGCGCTGGCTGAAATTACCTGCCTGGTACCTGTGAGAATTGTTTACTGGCTCTGAGACCTCACCACTGATCTGATCAACCGAAAATAACAATTCCTTTCCCTACGTCAAATCCGTTTGCGTGGTGTTCAGCTTGGCAGTGGGTATAGGGAAGGTGCTGTGTCCTCTCCTGTATAAGGTGACCTCAGGCGGGTGTGATGTGGTTGATCCATGTGCTACCTCCACAGCATGATCCAGGATCAATGAAAATGTATTCAAGCACATCCTGTATCTGCCTCATCATTTGTAAATAAATAGAAGATGTAGTTAAGATCTCTGGAATTTTTCCTGAACAGACAACCTCTGTGGACCTCTGAACCCCCAGACCCTAGGGTGACATTTTGCTTGTAATCCATGGAATGGTGTCACTAATGCCCACTGGATTTTAGCACAAGAAGGAAAACAGAAGCATCTGCCTCTGTTACTCTTTCTTTCTAAATTAGAAACCAGTTCACAGTGTCAGAGATTCCCAAAAACTAATCTGCTGCCCTTGTTTCCTCAGGTTGGTGACCAAATTGTGGAAATTAATGGAGAGCCTACCCAAGGAATCACTCACACACGAGCCATTGAGCTGATTCAGGCTGGAGGAAATAAAGTTTTGCTGCTGCTGAGACCAGGGACTGGACTGATACCAGATCACAGTATGTTGTCTCAAGGGCTTTTTGGTTTTGAGGGTGCAAGGCAGGGAAGTAAAGTGGGATAAGGAGATTCTGCTGCTTGTTCACCGCAGTAGTTGGCAGTTGCCTTTGTGATAGCTGTGCATTTATTATTGAATTAAATTGAAAATTAAAATACAAAAATTGAAAAATAAAATATCTATTTTCAAATACAAGGAATATTTGGGGTAAAATTAACACATGACGGTACGTAGGAGTATTGCACAATCTGAAATTATTCCATATTTCTAATTAGCTTCTCAGCTCTGTCCAAGCTAATCAAATTTTTCTATGAAAATATGATGATTAACCGTGATTGCCTTTTAATTTAAATGAAAATTCTCCGTGCTACAGTGTTGTTAAAAGTTTGTTTCTGTACATATTTACTTCTGGTTTTAGCCTTCTAAGTTATGAAATGCTTTGTTTTTCAAAGTCAGAACTTCAGGAAGCAGGAAAGGGACAACTTTACTCTCCAAAGTTTGATTCAAGGTGATTTCTGTGTCTACAAAAGGAAACCACAGCTTTGTAGGCAAAAAAAAAATCAACCCAAAAAACCCAGGAAGGACAGCAGAGCAAATGTTTGCAGGACCCACAGAGTTCAGAACTGGTGATTTTGTGTCTGACGCGGTCCCAAGACTTGTGTCAGAGACTTGTGGCAGTGGCAGCAGCAGCATTTTAAAGCAAAGAACATATAACTTCCTTATTCTTTGTAAGCCCTGATGCTGACACCAAGGTGCTGATGGCTAAACTTCCTAAATTGTAGGGTCACTTTTTCTGATAAGGAGTTTTTCAGTCACAGTGACCAACGCCAAGCTTATCCTTTCAAAATCCCAAACACACAGTTTGAGCTACCAAATACTTTGTGTGTTCAGTCACTGGCATTACTTACTGGCATTCACTCAAAGGGTAAAATCTGCTCAGAACCGTCTCAATTGCTTTCCTCTCGAGAGCTAGAAAAGGGTCCTGAGCATCACTGCTGGCCCTGCTGGTCACAGAAATTCCCTGAGCTTGAGGTAGAAACAGAATCAGACAAAAGGGAACCTCTGGAGCATGTCCAGGCCAGCCCTCTGTCTAGAGTGGGGCCTGGGATAGGTGAAGGAAATGGTGGAGTGGGGAAGGGTTTATGGCCTCTTGCCTTGCTGTTAATCCCACATTTCTGATTGAAGTCTTGCTTGCTGTACTCTGTGATTTTTTTTTGGTATGTACTTCTGGGCTTTTTCTCTTCCTCCTTCAGGTTTGGCTCCTTCCAGTCTGTGTCCCTACGTGAAACCTGAGCAACATTAAGGGCTTTCAGTGCTTTTCTTGGTTTTTCCTTAAAGACTTGGTAAATCTGCATGTCTTGTTTCATCTCTTCCTATTTTTAAAGTGCAAAGCTATGAATAACCCCAACTTTTCACTGTTTCAGATTCCTTGAGGCATAACAGTTCTAGTTTGTTATTAAATAGGTTAGGTCAGGGACTTTTTAATTTGAAATTTTGCTTTGTAGGCTTTAAAATTGTTTTGATTCAAGATCGTGTCAGTCCTGCAGGCATCCGGCATTCTGAGTACTAGATATTTTTTTCTAAAATCACATCCTCAGGATTGTTGTAGAACAGCACAATACAGAAGGCTGGCTAAATAAAGCTTCGAAAGTATGCTACTCCATAATGTTTTTTGAATTGAACTCAGTAGTTTGCCAATGATTACTTTTTGTGTGTTTAACCAAATCTCTTGCCATTTGCTTCCAGGTGATTGGGATAGCTGCAATCCTGCTTCATCAAATGTAATATATGAAGAACAGTCACCATTATTATCTTCATCTTCCCATTCTGCTTTCCCATCTGAAATGTGTTATTTAGCAGTACCAGGAGAAGCTTCAACCGGAGTTCAGCTGTCTGAGGAACTGGAACAAGCAGAACTCACTGTGCCTGACAAGATAAGCACTTTAACTGAAAACCTGTATGAGAGGAAGCCTCAGTCTTCTCCCCAGAGAACAAAGAACAGATGGGAATGTCCCTCGAGTCCTGGGTTTGGAATCACTCAGCGTAGTTCAGAAGCAAGGACCAGAAGGGGCAGATCTGCCAGTCCAGCAAAGTCAGGGGCTGCTGAAGGATACCCTCACATGGGATTCCACAGCCCTGGGAAAGGGGATCCTGAGAAAAACAATCTCTCATGTAAATCTGACAGTTCCAGGAGTGAGAGTAAAACCACAGGAAAAGGGATGAAGAATAGTGACAAAAAGGAGTCTTCCCATGGAAATCGAGGAAGGTCAGCAAGTCCCCAAAGGCATCATGGCAAGTCAGGAAGCACACAAACAGTGGGAAGGATCCAAACATCCTGTTCCGTTGAGCAGTTGAAAGGTGGGAATGGTAAACCAGAAGTCACCAGGAAAGAAATGAAGCAGAAGACCCCAGGAAAGACAGAAGGGTGTTCTGCAGACCAACATTATCCATTGTTTGGTGGGAATAACCTTCCCTTTAGGGACTCCAGGAGAAATGCCTCTGAGGATGATTTATTAACCAAGTCCAGCTCTGGAGACACAAGTTCCAGCAGATTCAAAACCTCCAGCCTTTCCAATATCCCACTGCTTTCCATGGAGAAACAGAGGAGGGTGGAAACACAGGAAGCTCTTATGCTGAACAGACACCATGGAGAGAGACACATGGAGCTGCCCAATGAAACCAAAGATGGAACTTCCCAGCCCAAGAAGAATTCTCCAGTAAGGAAAATACTGATAACTCCCGGGCCGTGGAGGGTCCCCAGTGGCAGTAAGGGCACCCCAGCAGCAGGGGTGCCTGGGAAACGGGTGTGACTGACTGAGAGACGCTGGGTTTTTTTTGAGAACAAACATGTTTTGATCAATTTTCCAGTAAGGGTAATTTAAAGCATTGGTTTTTCTCACACAGTTGTCTTTTTTTTTTTTTTTTTTCCTTCCTCAGAAACTGGTTGTTGGGGGGAAGTATTTGCTTTCTTTGTAAATTATCTAAGCTCCATGAAGGACTTTGAGATTGCTTCAGTGAAACTCTTCCTGAGCTGCTGTCCCCATGTCCCTTTGCAGGCCATGTCTGCTGCTCCCAGTGTTGCACTGCTGCAGCTTCCCCAAGTATTGTGAACTCTGAACAAAGTTATTTAATGCCTCTATTGCCAATGTGATCCTGACTCACTTCCTGTTGTTGTGCCAAGCTATCTACTGAATCCAGTCAATCTAACCCTTCCCACATGGATTCCAGTCATAGACAAGGCAGGTTTTGGTGTTTTCTCTAGGGCGGGTTGCATGTTTACATCAGGAAACCCACGTGTTCTTGCTGGGTCAGGGAGAACACAGGTGAGTTGGTTCTATCAGTTCCAGGACAGCAAATGAGCTGCTGATGCTGCTCAGTTCATATGTTTCCTGGAATTTTTATACCTAATACAAAACCCTGGTATATGTATTTGACACAATTTTGGAATTTTGCTTTTTCTGACACAGCAGAATCACTTTAGTTCCTTGATTCACAGGGATTTGGGTTGCAAACATCTGTGAGAAGAAAAAAAATTCTGGGTTCTGTTAAATAACACAATTCCTTTGGTTTCACTTGTGGCACCATGACACCCTCAGCCTCAGTGTAGAGTTCATACTGAAGTCCCATCTTTAATTATTTAATGCTAGTTAGGAATTGGGTTTTTTTCCCCTCTATAGAGGTAAGAACTGACCTTAGGACAGACTCAGCTACCAGAGCAGCTTTTTCAGTGAAGGTCTTGCCTGTATATTTTAGAACTCTCCCCTATTTACTATGGATGTGTGATCAAGGAGCATTGGTGACAAACAGGATACAGGAGCCACACCATCTATGGTTTGGGCTGGCAGAGATGTTTTTAAAGAGGGATGTTACCGCCAGAACCTACTGACACATCAGTCTTTTAGCTGTAAGAACAATACAAATTGAAGGGGTTTATTTTATTTGCAGTTCTAGTGATTATTTCCTGACATCTGAGATTTTTAACGACTGGAGAAAATTGGTGAAAGAAAGCCCTTTGCTGGAGAAAGAAGAGTAAATCATTGAGCTTTACTTACTTAAAATACAAACATTATTTGCTCTTTGCAAGTGAATATCTCATTTTGGCTTTGAAACGTTAAATGTTTTTGAAGGCTAACAAAGCACAGTGAGGCGGTTCTGAGTGGAATTTTTCACGAGTACAGCTGAGTGCTCAAACAGCTTTTAAACAAAGACTTTGGGAATTCAAAAGGCTTTAAAGCATCTCTGAACTGTGCTCACCAGCTCGACACCAGGGTTGCTATGTAGCATAACACGTACAAATACTCCCTGGGTGGAATATGACTGTGAAATATTTAATACTCTGAAGTAGCCTGTGTAGATATTGCCCTGTGTTGTTCCCCAGAGGTTGGTTGATGTTGAGCTGTGTGCACTTGGCCTGACCACTGAGTATAGCGAAAAATCCAGTCCTTTAATTCCAGATTAATTAGTCCCACTGAAATTATTTCCCTGCCATCAACTCCTCTATTTTTCTATATGTTCATGTGACCTGATAATGTCTTACCTGTGTGTGGTTTCTCCTTCCATAGACCTTGTATCTGTACTTCCTGTATCAGACTTAGCCATGTGGCCTTGGAATGCTACGCAATGTATGGATGTACTGGGTGTAAATGTTTATATATTGTACAGCACCTTTATACGGACTTCTGAGGTTCTGACTAGAGAGAGACCTGTAAATCGCTCATTATTTTTTATATAGATATTAAAAACAAATTCCAGTTCATGGCCTGTTGATTCTGCACTGTCTAAACCAGGTTCTTGCTTGGCTTTCAGGGGTGTCACGCAGGTTTTACCCACAAACATGCTACTCTTCTGGAAAATGAATGCAGTTTCTCATTGGAAGTGCTTGATTCCCCGTTCAAAAACCAAATGTTCAGCAAAGACGGTATAAAAACCATTAAGTCCTGTCAAAACAGTACAGTGCTGAAGTACTCGTCCTGCAGGTTTATTGGTACATTTTGCTATATAAAATTGTCATCTCCTTTTATATCTCACAACTTTTCCTTCTATAGAAAATAGCTGTAAACAATTTAGTACCAGCTGCAGCTCTTGTATGGCTTTAGTGTTTGATGTCCCACACCAGTTCCTACTGGTTTCAGTGCTACCTGCCAGGATTCAGCCCCATTAATCCAGTTTTTCTGTGCATGGCATGGGATGACATGATGAGGCCAGCGCATTCCGGATATTGTGCAACAGTAAAGCAGAAGGAAAACTTCTGATACGTACACTGAGAATCTGTTTAAAAACTGAATGCCAGTTCCTGTTGTCAGTTTGCAGGAGGCGTTTGGCGCTGCCAGGGTAACCAGAGTTTTCCTTCGCTGTAGCTTTGGTCTGGGAGATATGGAGTTGCCCTCTCCTAACCCTTACCTCCTCCCCTCAGCCCTCTTCTGTCGTGTCCCCTTCTCAGCCCCTCACCCCTTCTCGAACTTCCAGCCTGCTCCTGCCCCATCCATCTCTCTGCCCTTCACGCCTCCCCAGCCCGCCCTGCCCCATCCCTCTCTCCCCCCACCACCAAGCTTTTAGTATAGTTCTAAGATCTCATTGTCTTTTAAAATAATAGAGATCATAAAATAATAAATCAGCCTTCTGAAAGGTGGAGTCAAGACTCTCATCTCTTCCCACCTCATCCTGGGGACCCTCAAACACCACCACAATCACCGGCTTGAGCTGGTCTGGGCAGAACCAAATAAAATAAAAAGTTGTAAAAATAGAAAAATTTAAAATAAAAATTAAATTAAAAACAACTTAAAATTTTTAAAATAAAATTAATTAAAAATAAATGAAAAAGTAAAAACCAGTAAAGTGCTGTAAAGTGAAATGCCGTAAAAGTTCCATAAAGGGAAGTGCCGTAAAGCGCGACTGTCGTAAAACCGGCCGTAAAGCGCGACGGTCGTAAAATCGGCCGTAAAGCGCGACGGTCGTAAAGACTGCCGTAAAGCGCGACTGTCGTAAAAGGTGCCGTAAAGCGCGACTGTCGTAAAATCGGCCGTAAAGCGCGACTGTCGTAAAAGGTGCCGTAAAGCGCGACTGTCGTAAAGACTGCCGTAAAGCACGACTGTCGTAAAAGGTGCAGTAAAGCGCGCCTGTCGTAAAAGGTGCCGTAAAGCGCGACTGTCGTAAAACCGGCCGTAAAGCGCGACTGTCGTAAAAGGTGCCGTAAAGCGCGACTGTCGTAAAGACTGCCGTAAAGCGCGACTGTCGTAAAAGGTGCAGTAAAGCGCGCCTGTCGTAAAAGGTGCCGTAAAGCGCGACTGTCGTAAAAGGGGCCGTAAAGCGCGACTGTCGTAAAGCCTGCCGTAAAGCGCGACTGTCGTAAAAGGTGCCGTAAAGCGCGACTGTCGCAAAACCGGCCGTAAAGCGCGCCTGTCGTAAAAGGTGCCGTAAAGCGCGACTGTCGTAAAACCGGCCGTAAAGCGCGACTGTCGTAAAAGGTGCCGTAAAGCGCGACTGTCGTAAAGACTGCCGTAAAGCGCGACTGTCGTAAAAGGTGCAGTAAAGCGCGCCTGTCGTAAAAGGTGCCGTAAAGCGCGACTGTCGTAAAAGGTGCCGTAAAGCGCGACTGTCGTAAAAGGGGCCGTAAAGCGCGACTGTCGTAAAAGGTGCCGTAAAGCGCGACTGTCGTAAAGACTCCCGTAAAGCGCGACTGTCGCAAAACGTGCCGTAAAGCGCGACTGTCGTAAAAGGTGCAGTAAAGCGCGACTGTCGTAAAACCGGCCGTAAAGCGCGACTGTCGTAAAGCCTGCCGTAAAGCGCGACTGTCGTAAAAGGTGCCGTAAAGCGCGACTGTCGTAAAGACTGCCGTA